GATGCACAGGAGTATGGGAAGTTCTGTGAGCAGGCCAAGATCTAGTGGTTTTTAGAAGAGTGTTAAGTACAGACCAAAGCTGAATTCAAAGCAATTTCTAAAACAGAAAATATCTGTCCTGGCAAGGCATCGTATAAACAAATTTAACTTAACCCCCCATTAAAAACCCCAAAAGGAATTCCAGCCCTTTTTCTTCAGCTTCAAGTTTTGAGCTCTAGCAATTGTGTCGCTTTGATTAAAGCATTCCTAACATTAACCAATACTGCTGGGTCAAAGAAAAAAATGCCACCTCACTAACTGTTTAAAAGAAGGAACAATCAGTACACAACTAATAACCAATACCGGAAACAATCATCCTGTGAGCAAACATGTGTTTTATGTGTGCACTCATTTTGCAGCCATGACATCAGGGTAAGTTTGTATGCAGTCATCAAATTTTCGAGGACCTCTGATTTAAAGGACTAGCATGCTATTATTTGCTAACTATGGTCAAGTTATCAATTATTGTCATAACTGTAATTTTCAATTTTGTACTGATGATGGTGTGAAGAGTCAAGAGATCACCACAAAGAAATTACAAAGTCGTTTTAAATGAAACATTCATCAAATGTCATGACAATCCATTACCATCATTGCTCTTATTATGGTTCAAGCAATAGTCGCCCCAGTCAATCACCATCTGGTGACTATGAATGGAACAAAATGTTAGAAAGCCCTTTCCTTCTTTTTTAAAGAAAATAACTGCAAAAATGTTATTCCTAAGGCAATACAGCTAGCAAAGCACAAACCCCCAATTAAAAAATTATTTATACTTTTTATAGGTTATAGTGTGCGGTATTTAATGTTGTATTTCACAATATGGCATCAAAATAGAAAATATAGGCACAAGTCCCTTCTTTTATCCAATGGCTTTCAAAGTCCAAAATTATTGTTATTTAAATTAAAGGGGCTTTTACATACCCTTTAACCCTTTTTTCTTCTTCTTTTATGAGGGGCAGCCAATTAGATTTAATCAGCATGTGGGCGAGGCTTCTGTGTTTTTGTGTGCCTGCCTGCTTTTACCAACATAAAGAAGCTGTTTAGAAATTCTGGCCAAGTTTAATATGAGCTTCACATCTTTGGTTTGGTTATATCTAAAAAAAAAGAAAAAAGAAAAAAGAAATCATTCCCTGATGTGAGCTGCATGATGGAAGTTATGAAAAGGGGAAAAGTAATTTCAGGTTGGGAGTGTCAGGGCCTCTGGCAGGCAGATAGTGTCCATCACTGATGCACTGAATACAGGACAGCTTAGCTCATCTTCCTGCACATACCAATCCTATTGCCTTGTTTCCCACACTTTCAACTGCTCATTCCTCAATTTGTCACTAAGCTGTCAATTAATATAAAATTCCTAATGGTAATTAACTTATTAAAGAAAGTAATTTAACCACGTGGATTCCTTTGATTATTGGGAGGGACACGATGTACAAAACCTGCATTGTGCGTAACCAACTCAACAGGAAAGTACGGTTCTATTTTAGTGCTATGTGTCCCCACCCTGACCTACTGGAAAACACTGGAAAACAATGCATCACAACGAGGGAAGGAGGGGGTCAACACTTTCTCGTAGTCTGTCACTCGCATACAACATATCTTATAAAACCATTAGACCCACCATAAACACACTGGTGTTTACAGCATGAAACAGTACATACTAATAAGGATTATAATCACTGGGAAATCTAGCTTTAGGTTTTTGTAATATGGCAGCCGGACGTTTGTGTGTTTCTGAGGCTAAAATATGACAATTTATAGTATTAAACATTCATGACAGCAAAGAAACATCAGTGGTGTATTATTAACCACTCCTGTCCCATAAATATTAATAGGATGAAAGATTAAAAAGTTGCACTTCAACCAAGCAAATGAATAATGAATGTTTTTGTATGGTGAGTAAGTCTGGTGCCATTTCCACATACCACCTGTTTCTAGAAAAGTGCACACAGTGAAAGGTTAATGGATTTCATATATCATTGAAAAAGTCTGTAAAGTATAAATATAATATTCACTGCAACAACATAATATCATAAAGTATAAACAAGCTAACAATCATAAGGCAGAGGTGGATACAGGGTCTTATTAGTGCTGCACAGCTTTTCATGCTAATATCATGATATTCAAGGCCACTGTGCTCTCAGATATAGTTGTTAATACAATCTTTACATGTTAGTCCAGTGAAACACATCTAAATGTCAGTGTAATGGTGGGCAGCAGGAGTGAGCCAATATTCTCTTTCACTTTCTTGTAACTCGTAGCAGTATTACCTTTACTTGTGGCACTTGTGTCTGAATTTCTCCTTGAAGTACCTCAAAATGGTATATTATTACAATTCATGAATATTTAAGTGGCTGCTCGACATTGATTATCATAATTTACATCACAAGTTGAAATTTTATTTGAATGGCAGGTATAGAAATAGGAAGAAAAATGGCTTTGTACTTCTTCAAACCTTTGACTCTCATGATATTGATTATACAGCTGGGTTTGGGAGACATTACTTCATAAACAAGTGTGTACCTTTAGACTAATTTTTTATGAAAGATGTATGTAAAATTATACTATATAGTAAATTAAGAAGTGTAGATCTGTATGCACTAAGCTGGGATCTAATATTTTGTTACTGTTTAGATTCATTCAATGTGTCTTGGCCTTGTTTTTGGAATCTTGGAGGGTGTAGAGGATGGCAGTGCATGGAAATTAACATTAATCTGGCTTCCAGTCAACTTTGGAATTTTCTGTTTAACAAAAGCTGAAAAAGAAATTGGTTTCTGTGGCAGCTGTCACTGCCTGTAAAATAAGTACACTTCCTCCAACCACATTATTACAGAATTACAAGCAGCTCATTTGATACTGTGAAACCTGATATGTTATGTGATGTGGTACGCTCTGCTTACCAAACTAATTTTAAGCTCGTCTCCAGCCTTATTCCATATCCGTTATCAGCCCATAAAAGAGTTTATTGGGCAGGTTACAGCCTGTTAATTAGCAGTAAGGTTGTCCCAACGTACTCGTTACGATCCAGCAAATCCACAGTAAGTGAAACCATTTATGGAACATTGTCATATTTTAAATGTAGTAAGTTTTTAGCTCTTTTGTATCTTTTTGAATACATTCATACGACTGAAAACTATCAAGCCTGGCCATTTTAGTTTACCTTTAAAAATCCACGTCTGTCTAGATCCCGTACTAACATTTTTTCCCCCAAATTAAGTTGTTAGTGTTGAAATTATTCAGTGTGGATTAATCAAAATAATAACTGTACAAGTTGTTTCAAACTGGGTTAAGCCACTTTTAACTAAGAAAAACATAGGTGTTTATACAAAAGTCACAATGATATGCTATAAACCTCACAGTGCTTTCAGCTTTTCATATCTTTGTAACGTGGGACTCATTCAGAGAACACATTAGCATGCAGCACATTTATTTGAGGTCACTGGAGGATAAATAATTCAATCTGGGTGGAAGGAGATTTAATGACAATGTCAAATTAGTCTTTTAATGAAATTAATTTTATGCTCTCAGGCTGTGTACAACTAAACACCCACAACACTTAACACTTTCAAGAATCTAATATTCTGTGATATCAAATGAGCTTGTATAACTCTGGGGAATAAAGTTCTTAATTATTCACTGCAGGAGGTATGGCAAGTCTGATGGCATTTGAAGGTGAAAAATGAATTTGTGAATCTTACTTGATGAGAGCTGTCCTGGGCGAGTCGTTCTGCTCCCCACTTTTAGGAACACTGGAGGGCTGAAGAGTAGAAGGTGGACTATGGGTAGATGGAAGAGTGGAGGATGAAGCGGGAACAGTGGAGGATGAAGCGGGAACAGTGGAGGATGAAGCGGGAACAGTGGAGGATGAAGCGGGAACAGTGGAGGAAGAGGGGGGAGGGGCCTGCTTAACTGGGCTCTTGACGCTTCGAAGAAGACGGAAAGACTTGACTCTGCTGTGATTGCTCCGACCGTGAACCACCTTGCAAACAGGTCCTGTACCTGACCTCTTTAAAGTTTGCTCTGACCTGAAATACAATCGTACATGGCTGTAGTTAATTTGAATCACTTCACTGAGGGATATTTCTACAATTAAATCTGAAATGTAAACATTTATACAATGCAGCTAAAGTGATCAGCAGTTACTTGTACATGGGAATGAATACATAAAAACAACAGCAGCAAGGGGTGAGAGAATCTATATGAATATGAAGCAGGAAGATGCAATGTAATGTTTTGGGAGCATAAGGGAAGAAGCTAGACCTTGTGGAGGGCCTTATTAGGTTCACCTCAACCACATTATGATTCCTCTTACATTTCCTCATGCATGTAACCTCATAACATGATCATTATGTAGGCCACCAACACACTTCATAACAAGTATGAATGAAAAATACTTAAAAAAAAACCCAAAACCTGATGTGGGCAAGTACTTCAAACCTTTAGGCTACTTACACTACTATACACCAAACATTCTTCTATGTATATGTGTTAAATATACAATCATGACATTTTGTCACACTAAGTTCAGGTTTTTGGGGCTGGGTGGTTAATCAGACTTTAATTTAAATTATGATTTTGGATTTCAGTGATTCAGTGAATGAAGCTTGGTCTTATGTTATAAATCAGGTTTGTCCCAATCATGTGTATGTCACCTTTCCTTAAAACTCACATCTCAGAGACAACATGACAAAAAGGAAAAAAAAAAACACAAACAAAAACAAAAAATAAGATCTACATCAAATGAACAAAAGTTAAAAGGTCCAAAGTAAAAGGCTTTGACAAGTAAATCTGTGGATCGTTCACAGATGCACCACCACGCCCACCATGTTCACCTCTCTCTCTTTTTTCACCTGATTATTTGAACTTTAAAAAACAAAAACCTTTTCTTCTCATCTTGCAGTTTTTGCAGTTATTGAGCAAACTCAGCTAGGGGCAAGTATAGCTTCTTGTTCCATCTCATGACAAACATGCATATACTGTAATGGAAAATACAATGAAACTCAATATCGGGGGTGGGATTACATAAAAATGATGCTAATGTCAAGACTTCAAAAGTTATTCCATACCATAAAGAACTTTCCCAAATAGATTTTGGATCCAGATTTGAAGATTAAAAGTATCACATCTGTTGAATGTATGTAAGCCTGCTTAGGCAGGTAGGGAGGCCAGGGGGAATTCTAAGGGAAAAATGCCACAAAGGAACGCAGAGCATTCCTACTGTTGTCTGATGGACTGCCTCCTGTACGTCGCTTCATGTTTTGTCTACTGGTTTCTTAACAAATTCAACATGTCTGACAGTATACCTCTGAGACAAAGGCTAAGCAAAAATACTCAAACACTGCACAGGGATAGGTATGTCACGCAGTCTTGGTATAATGCCAAGTGACTGTGGTATTCAAGTAGTGTGACCTCCTAGTGTAACAGGGGTCACACACTACCACCAATCCCTGAACTTTGACCCCGCTGAAGCTGGCCCTACTTAGCCAAGCCTGATAGGATCCTAAGCAAGATGTTTTTCTTTGATGTTTGCTGTGAGCACACAGTAACTCTCAAGTCCTGGTTCAACATATGAATCGTTTGTGAACACATTATACAGAAAAAATAATCCTGATGCAAACTGAGTATTTTTGTTTGCCCTCAAGAGAAGAGAACAGAGCCCACCCTCTCAGTGACTTGCTGATTAAATTAAGAACATTTTAGAAATCCTTTGCAGTAAGCAATGTTAAAAATGTATTTTTACTGAATCCTTGAAGCCCTGCTGAGAAACAAAAAGAAAAGAACAAAGCTAACAAACTGGATCAGACTTAAATTATGCAAAACTCTGCACAAGTGAGATGTGCAAAGGATTTTTCTCATCGTCTTTGTTACTGAACATTTTAATTTCACACTTGGGTGGTGTGAACTGCTTCATTTTCACTGACCTGCCGTGACGAGAAATCATCTAATGTTTAAAACGCGTGTTCTTAATGTGACAACAATCTTACAGGCTAATATGAGGTTTAATTAATCTGTATAATAACTTAAAACAGCTCTATTACCATCTCAGATAATGGAAAATAAACCTGCATTAGTGTTTGACTCTGAAAAAGGTATATCATCCAGTCACACTTGTATTATTATCGTTATTGTTAAATACCAAAATATTTCTCCTTCTGTAAAAAACGCATCTGGAACGCAACTCATCTCGAAGGGGATTCAGTTTGGTGTTATAGGGCTTTGGAGTTGACATAACGCAACAATGCATTGTGGGAGCCATACTGGCAGGCCACGAATTAAAACAAACACACTGTGTTGGAAGGAAGATTGCTACGAACCATACTTAAAAGCAGCTCAAAAGAAAAAGGACGGTATAGAGACAGATTGCGTCCGGATGCAAAGAGACGGTACTTGCAAAAAATAGTGTCCATTGGAAATGTGGACCCATATGAATTACAGCAGTGGAGTACAAACCCTCAAGACCAACCGCTATTGACTTACCATGATATATTCTCGTACCTTGTCTGTGGAGTCATACACGGCGAACCAGTTTTGCAATCATAAATCTCTGGAGGCGCACATCCAATTCACCAAGGATTGGGTGCAAGATTTGGCTATTTTTAAACCTCCACATTGTGAATACGTCATCATTCAAACAAAGGTAAGTCAGCGTGAGACAAGTCAGCTTGTTAAGACAGTAGGCATTTTCACCGCCTGGTCCTAACCCTCATCCCCTAATTTGCCACCCTATTACAATAATCCCAGTGGTGACCCCTGGTGACCCACAGCCTGGTTACAACAACCTAAACCACTTGACACGAAGACAAAAGCTGCGAGGAATGACAAGTATGCTTGAAACATGAGCACAAACACATGCATGAGTACACACACACGTACACACACACCACTAACATGAGTGTGACAGCCTATGAGAGGGGAAAAAAACATTACAATGGGAGGATTAGAAGACTTTTGTGAAATTCTAAAAGCTGCTGAAAACAGAGTTGGTTTCACAATAGAGAACAATACTTTAAGTGACTGTGAAATTGTAAAATTAAATGACTGTATGCTACCATGCAGCAAGCACAAATTGTAACTGTCTGTGTTCTTATGTAAGGATTAAGGTTTCATTACATGGTGTTTGGCAAAACCAGCGGCCTGATTGGCAGATTAAAAAAAAAAAGTATCCCAGGTAACAAAAACAGCAGGAAGGGTGTGCAAAACTGGACAGTGTAAGCGATTCACCTGCATTTGTGACTAAAAATAGAAGCATCCAGACTGTTAAATGTATTTAGGAGTACGTGCACGAACAAAAGCAAATGAGTATCAGCCCAGGCAGCCTCTTACTCTCACTTTTACATACAACAAATACAAAATAACCAAAAAAGCAGTGACAGTAATCATGTTATTATGGTGGTAGTTCATTATGGTGCTGCCAACTCTCCTCTTTGACACACACATACACACTTTTCACTTACTTCCATCCAGTGCTGGTTGGCTTTACACTGTGAAAAAGCTGTTTTAAAATGAGGTAAGACAAAAGCTGCCTGTGTTTGTCTGCCCATGCAAATAAACTGCAAATCTGGCAGATTTCATGTAAACTTTGCTGCAGGAAGACATCAACCATCCGCCTCTATGTCAGTACCTGCAGCATGCAGGTGTGAGTGCAAGAGCACGGGGCACAGTGTTTACTCCAACACATATATTGTTAAGATTTTAACACAACTGAAGGTTTTGATTGTTAAAAATCTTAGTGCTCTACACTAAATATTTAAGGTTAAGCTACCCAAACATATTTAAAAGTACTTAAAACCAGTTAAATGTTTAATGGGCCAGTGAAACAAATGAAACCAATAAAATGGGAAAATGTAGCATTGACATTAAATTACCCCTTTCTGTAGTTTCCCTTTATATTTACTGTAAATAAAGGAATGAAAAGAAAAAATACATTAGCCCAATCCTGTAGTTTAGGACATGCATGTTTAAATACGAGTTTTTGCGTCTGTTTGTGTTGTTCCTCATGCTTTTAATTGTTAACTGTATTATGTATGTGTGGGCTAATTTGCGTGTGTGCATAACCACTTTTAAATATGCATGGGCGGTGGAGGTCACAATTCAATTTACTTCCAGTGCCTGTCCCAAGCCTGGATAAACATGTCTGGCATTAAGGCTGTCTGGAGTAAATATGCATATGAATCCGCAGAGGGAACCCCATTAAAGTTTCGGAGCAACCGAAAGTATCTACTACTCACTTTTAAGTATGCATGGGAAAACCTCTCATACAGTAAAGTCCCTATGAGATAAAGAGTTTCTTGAATAAGCCCTACAAAGTGAAGACCAAATTACGTTTGTACACACCTAACTATGAAAATGTTTCATAGTCTGACAAAGGGACTGATGATGAGCAGCCCTCAGGACAAAATTATAATCTCACATTCCAATTTGTTAATGACTCATGCACAAAAGGTTTCTTACAGCCCAAACAGCTGCAGGGGAAATTTTACCGGATTGTGGGAATCAAAGAGCCCACCACTTAAATGAGCATAAAAGAAAAGGTGTTGATGAAAGGAGAGGGTGTCATGACTTTGTTTAATGTACATAAACAAAGGGAGTCTGAAATGGAGAGAAGAGTAATGATGATATCAGAAGGTGTTAATGTGTATAAGCTTCTAAAGGATTTATTGTGGATTGTACATATTTCGTTGGAAAATCCTAGACAAACGTATCCGTTTGTGCTGTTCCTTTCAAACAAACAAAAGACTCATCCACTGTGGAACAGTGGACACTGTTCTAAACCACAGTCAAGCATAAAGTTTTAAATAATATGGCTGAGTACAGAGATCTCAAAATTAAACTTCCTTACCCTTCAGTTTTTTCGCAATCTTCTGCATCTCCCACAGTAACATCGTCACTGCTCTCCTCCACTACTGGCTGATTCGTGACGCCTCTCTGCTGCGTTCGCCTCCTGGATCGAATCTGAAAGAAGAAACAAGGAGCTGGTAAAGGAGCTGAAACCAGATGATTTGGGGCTGAATCACAGCGATGAGATGTATCCCATTCTGTCTCATCAGCTAGTGACACAATATCATTAATTATGAATGTGTATTAAGACGGTACTGTGTCATACCAACTGTGCGCATTTTCTATAAATTAAAAACAAACAAACACACAAATTAAATGCTACACAATTTGATTCTTTACCACAAAGTGCTGTTGTTGATGTTGATTGTGCCAAAACTGAACTTCAATACTTTTATAGACAATGAACGGGGATCGTGATTGGCAGACAGAAAACAAGCTAATAAAATCCTCTAAGAGTTATTCAACAGAATTAACTGAAGCTTCTTTGCACTTTTGTGTTTTCAAACTTTGTCTGCTTGAGGCACACTAGATCAATTGGACACCTCCAATTCTTTTTCGCTGCTCTTATTTCTATTATTTTTCACTTCCAGTTTTGAATCGATCATCTTTATGGGGTTTTTTTTTTTAATTTCTTCCGATTTGTTTCCAGGTTGCATTCCCAAAGTCTCTCACAAAACCCTAAGAAATCCAGTTATTCTGTCACTTACTTCATGGACAATCAAAGCAACAGTTTGTTTGTGACAAAAAGGTCACTTAAACAAAAAAAGTTGTTTTCACAGAAAATCCTTCATGTACCAAGCTGTGGTGTCAAAGTGCAGTTCCAAACGAATGAACAGAGCTGGATGTCCAAATGCAACCACCTCCAGAGATTTAGTGACCTGTGTGGTTTCATAACCCAAAGCTCCATCAATTTTATGCTCACAGCACTGTCTAACTGAGCTGTGCTGCTGAACGTGACCAGTTTATTTATTCAGTCATCAGGCTAATAATGAAGAACTACACTAAGTAGACCAAGCTTGAAATAATAAGCATTTGTTTTAAGATCTAGGAATGTGCCCCGACAAATAATCCTCTTTTTCCAAATTTACTGTAGCTGCTTCTGTGCTGGCACGTAAGGATACAAACACTTGTGGTTAGTTCAGAAAATCCTTGTTACTAAACATTATGTAAAGTCATTATGGGGACTATAGAGATAAGCCCTGCTGTGTCACAAGTGATTTACATGAGATGCCAAATTGGTGATTCTTGCTGCCCAGATTGGCTTTAGCTAAAGGATTTTGGATGGTGAATGGAGCTGTTGAAACTCTTGTCGTCAGACACTTGGTCTTTTGTTCAAGGCTTTCATAGATGCTGGCACTCAGTGAATGCTGGTTAAATTAAAAACAAAAGAAAACTCAATTTAGGTGAGAAAAATCAGAGTCTCCAAACGGCAGGAAATCTTGCAAAGAATTGAAGTGAAGGGGAATGAGCACTCAAAGAACAGCTTGGAAGAAAGTTTGAATCTGAATGAACTGTGAATACGAACGTTATTATTACTTTATTATTAGCGAGCCAAACAAAACAAAAACCAGAGTAACGTACAACGGCAGTGATCGGGTTTCCAAGCACACCTTCTATTTTTGTTCTGTGGTGGGTTAAATGGAAAATAATTAAAAGGATGTGGTTATTAATCATTATCTTCTCAGTCATCAAACACTCGTGTCAGTCGCAATGGAAAAGAAAGAAAAAGATACTGAACAAGTGAGTTTTCATAATAAATGTATACTTTTGCATGTGTAGTAAAGTAAGGCTTAGAAAAATATGACAGATGTCAAGATCAGGTCCTCTCTGATATCTGTCCAGTAAAAAACAGGCCTACGGCAAGCAGCCATTGAGCTCAGGGCAACAAACTAAGACAGGAAAGCAGCCAGGCAAGCCTGTCCAATGGTAATAAAACCTCCCTACCAGCAACTCTAAATCTTATCTCTAGACATGTTCATACACAAGGTCTGTAAAACTCAGGTGTGACTATGATACATGGGCAGTTTTATCAAAGGTTTTATGCTGGAATGGAATCAAATGGTGAATCAGAGAAACCCTACAAAAAGAAAAAGGTCCAGGACCTGTCTTACGGAAACTTAAAGGACTTGTAATTGACAATCTATAGCTTTTTGCAGAACATGCAGGTATGAGTAATAATAAACATCTTATCTAAATCTCTGAGTAGAAGACACAACAATTCTCCATACAAAAAGGCTTGTGCTGTGAGTTACACGCTTTAAAACCTGCTGTTACTGTCATGGTTTAGCTGTATTTCAAAGCAAGATGTCTCCAAGTTTTACCTGCGCTTGTGTTAATGAAGCCGAAGTCCGACTCGCGCAGAAGCGTCCAGTTGCAGGACTCTGCTGTCTGGGTGCTGCCTGTGTTTGTGAACTCTTTTTGTCGACCCGCTGTCGCCCCATTGGGTCCAAAAGGTGCCGTTGAGCCAGGCGCATCACCCGTGTCAGTATATTTACAGCACCTGGAAGTGTGACTGTAGGCAAAAAATACAACACAAGAATCTCTCATTCTGCTTGGAAGAAATTCCTAGATCTTTCATTCAGAAGAACTATTGCCTTTTGCTTCCTGGCTCTGTAAAACAGGGAATGTCATTTAAGATGGTGTAAATCTGCTGTAATACATTTTATTCAACTCGGATATTGAACACATATGTGGGACTTGAGTACTACTCCACTAACAAAATCTCAGGTACACAGTACAGATAGTGCTGTAGGCAAAGCATGCTGGAGTAACAAAATAAGTTATCATTCCATGACAGAGCTGCCCCTACTAAAATGCCCGTGTGTGTACTGTGTGTGTTTTGGTGTGTGTATGCGTCCTTGCTATACACAAATGAATGTTATCAGTAGCTTCCCATATTTACTCAGGGGGCAGAATCTGCCTGCTTAGGCAAGCTGTGAACACAAAGACTCACTTATAAAGTGTACTGTCCATGTTTGTGTGCAGGCACACTGATGCATACAACCACAGTCAAAGACTCTGTAGATGCATCTCATGTTTATGCAAGTGATTAAAGGACTGTGATAATTTTTTACAATGTACTGAAAGGAGACCCTGATATAGTATACCATTTCAACAGGACATCAGAAAGTGAGCATTAATTTAGCAGTTTGAAATCTTTCTGTCATCAAGCTGTGCTAGAAGAAAACCTGTGAAAACCTTAACATCCTAATATTCTTGTAACATTTTTGACTTTAAAATCCAGAAGCACGATTTTGAAAAAAAGCATCCATCACATTTTAACAATGTACCAGCTATATTTATGAGCCTTAGCCTACTAGTAAGGTTCAACTTTGAAGACAGCTGTGTGATTTCCGTTCATCTTGTAAAACTTGTTAACTTGAATTACTCAGAAGACCTGGGGCTCAAATACCTGGGGCAGGAACTTTTCGTTGTTACAGACCAGTGACTGTTCCAATAAGGTATTTCAAAGTTTGACATGATCAGCAGCCCAGAGTAAAAAAAAAAATCAATAAAAAAAAAAAAAAATCAGCTTGCTGTCCGGCAAGCTGATTGGCCAGCTGCTGGGTCGTTGGGGCCAGTGATTATGTCACCACCAACCACTGTTGTGACTTGTGTGAAACAAACAGGCTGAAGTGACCTTTGCTAACCAGTAATTCTTTTTCTCGCCTTCAGTAGCCAATTTTCACATTATAGGAAGCCTGTGAGGTTACTGTGTTAAGGAGGCTGTTATTAGTGAAAACTCAGCAGGAATGCTGGCTGTGCTCGACAACACTTCACTTGCATTTCTGACTAAAATAGATGTATGCCGACTGTAAAATATGTAGGAGCATGTGTGTGATATAAAGTATTACAAAATTTAGCCAAAGCAGCCTCAGTGTTTCGACAAAAAAGCGGCTAACCCAGCTGCAGTGAAGATGATGTTTACTGTAGTTCACTGTGGAGTCTCTCCTCTACAATTGAGGCCTTAATTCCTTAAGCAAACTGATGACAAGCAGTTTAGCTAAAATATTAGAGAGGATTGTCTTGCAACAGTACTGTGGCTTAAATGGAACTATTAGACAAGTTTCTACTTGTCATACGTTTTGCATGGCTCTACCCTACTTTGAACCAGCTCAACTAAATTCGACTTCTTTTTCTTGTTTTAGTATGGCCCTTTCAGCACTTCCGCTCAATACATGGATGTGAGGGTTTCAAAACATATTATGTAGACCAATGATGTATGAACACATGAACATTTGTGCACATAAGGGCAAACAACAGAAACTCACCCTTCTCAGTGGTCTTTTCTCCCACAGATGATGGTGATACATTTTCTTTCTCTTTTCCTTCTGTGACTTCACCAGACAGTGTGCCCTGAGTTTCACTTTGTTCTAAAAACAGCACATCAAATTTTAAACACAATAGTTTAGTTTACAACATTAGAGGCAAACAGTAGGAAATCTTTAAGTCTTTTTTTTTTACAGTTGGTTTTTTGTCGACACATGAAACATACACACAAAATCTACCAAAACTACCAGAATTTTCAGCACTCATTACTCGCCATAAAATTGTCTGATTTGCAACCAAGTCACAATTATATACAACCCAATGTATGTGTTTTTTAGTTTATTCCAGTAGTTGGATTATTGTGTCTTTACTGAATACATTGTTTAATCAATCACACTTCCAAGCTGGGAAAATAAGTGAATCTCTGTGGTGACTCTTCCAGAAGGTACTTTGAGTAAAGTGTTCCAAATTAAGGAGATGAGGCTGAAAGTGTGGGTTATAAAAAGGTACCTCTCTCTGTGTGTAAAAGCATACAGTCTGGTTACTTAAAGTCTAAGCAGTAAAACACAAAATAAGAATGATGTTAAGCACTCCAAAAACACCCAAAAACTGCCATGTCTTAAGTTTATGGAAAAAAAATACGTAGAAACACTTGAAGATGCTTGAAACAATGTTGTCTGGACAGATTAAAATGTTTTTTATATTGTACTTTTTGGTGTAAAGCATATGTTTAGGCTTGGAGGAAAAAGGAACTGAACCCAAACAGTCAAGCATGGTGGAGGAAGCATTATGATTTGTGCCTCACTTTGCTACCACAAAACCTGGACACCAAGAGAACAATAAATTCAAAATTGCATCACGAAATGTTACATTTTAACCATTAATTCCAAATGAGATGCTGTATAATGATATGGTAATAAGCCTTGTTCTCGTGTTCATTTTGGGAACTAGCCAGATAAAGCTGTGGTATGGTTGCAGTAACTGGGTTTAACCTGTAGCATGTGGCAAGAATCTGCAGAATGAACACTTCTAAAATATCAACTTGGTCTGAGATGCTGAATTTATTTCAGGTTTGTGCCATGTGGGTGGGAATGGTGGTTTAGACTTCTAATTTATAAGGATAAGGCTTCTGGCAAACAGGAAAAGCCAACGGTAAAGCGCAGTGTGTCCCAATCAAATGCAAGGTCTTTTCTGGGTCCTGAGTACAGTTATCTTTGATGTTAAAACAAGTCCATTTCCCAGACACACCCTCCTCCCCCCTTTTATTGCCAATGGCTCTCTCCCGTAGCCTCATGTCTCTCTTTGCTTCCTTCCCTCCCTGCGATCCATCTCAATCACTGTCAGACATCAGTTAAGGAGAGGTTACCTTCCATAGCCAAATGCCAACTTCAAAACACTGACATGTTAGAGCATGTCTCCCGTTAGCCACCCAAAGACTAACAGGATGAGAACATGTGGCATTAGCTCATCGCCTCTTTAAAATAAATTACAACGTGAAAGTATGTTCACTGCTGTTGTGTCGTGTGTATGCATGGGTACAAATTAGGAATGACTTAATAGCAAATACAAATAGTTGTCTCTGACATATACTTTATCTGTGACATCATAGAGCTGAAACAGTTAAACATACGTATATAAAAACTAACCATGGATTCAGGAACACCTGTGACCTCAACTCAAAGTTTCTGTATGACTCAGTGTTATAATTAGAAGTTCCAAATGGTTGTGTGTGTTTGACTTATTGCTGAAACTCACCCTAGAAGCACGTCTACCCTCACTGGAGCTGCCACCTAACAGTCGGCATTTTCACAGAACCTCAGTGATTTAAACAATACACGCAGGCATTACAGGACAAAAGCTACACTGTCCAGTATCAGACCAAACCTTACAATATACAGTTCAATGTATCAACACTATCAATTATTCCCTTAAACTGAGAAGAGTCAGAAGAGTGTGCAGTGTATCTTGGCACATGTTTAGGAAAAGGTGGGTTACAGGCTGGAAAAGCCCAGAGTCTATCACAGGGCTGACACAGGCTCAAATTGCAAGAGATTAATGGAGCTGCCTCTCCAGAGGGTTAGGGAAAAGTTCATGTCCCAGCACTTGGTCTAATCTAATCTAATAAGATCTGGTGTAAGGTAAATGAGTGGTGTTGAGTGGCTCTACAAAAAGGGACAAATTAATTAGCTATAAGGAGAAAAAAACCTGATATGTGAGAAAACTTGTAATGTTGCGCTTACGTTGTGATCTGCAATATCTTAGTTATTCCTAATATATGTCCGAGCTTACAAAGAGAGCATTAATGCCTGATACCTCTGCAGCTTTCAGTGAAAACTTCATCTCACATTCACCATAAACAAGTGTGTCGTTTGTTTTTTGGTCTGACTGATCAAAATTTGGGAGACAGCCACCATCCAAAATCTGATCTTGTTTTGAAACTCACAAGCTGAGTCCATATCATTAGTTAACATGATGCTATGATCCTGAAAACTGAAGAGTTTGGAAAGAACAGAGTTGGTCGACCTAAAAGAATATTATGTTATGTATGGTATATTGGGGTACCCCTGGATATCAAGCCAAATGGAAATCTATTTAATTAAAACTAGCTAAGACTTAACTTCAAGCTACGCGCAGAGATACAACAGCTCAAGATGAGGCAGATTCCATTTCAGGGATCACTATGAAAATATTCTGAGATTTTCAAGAAATTCCAACTGGAAGGTTTAATAAGGCATTCGACTGAAAAAGTCACTTGGATGAGTGACAAAAACGCTACGTCCAGATGAACAGAAGGCATTCACAGTTTCCCACGTTTGACTCAGCAAAGACAGCTAAAACATTTTCAAAGTAAAGTGGGAAGGACATAACAACTTTTTGTAACCTTGTTAGAAGAAAACATTGAAAACTTTGAACAAGTAAAAACATTAAATAATATACTTTCAGATCACCTTCACATTTACAGGACAATAGATATACAATTGTGAAGAGTTTCAAAACACGACCTGAACTCACCGATATACAATGTAACCAGGTTTAGAACATCTCTTTACAATGTATAGACGAGTGTATAGACGAGTGTTCCCTTCATCACCTTGGAGGAACAATGATCCCCCACCAGAACCTCCACCTCCAATCCCCACATGCCCACAGCATGCCTCAAGGTCTGTTTTTAGACACACCTACATGCATATCCATGTATATACACAAACAGAAAGACAAATATACAAAGCCAACACAAACATAGTGATGTGGTTACTTGCAGCTATTACTACATATGGTCAAAATCCCAACTCCCACATAACCAGTTGGTAATGTGAGTGTAGGAAAGCTCAGCTCCGGGCTTTCTCTGTGACTCAGGGATATAATGAGAAGGTATGAATGACAGTGTGTTTTTCTGCCCACACTCTCTCTGCTTCTCTCTCACTCTCTCAATGTCAGTTTCAGATGACAGAGCACTCTGCTGATTCCTCAGTGTTCAGGAATTACTGCTGATGACACGCAGCCTTTTGAAGGTTGTGTTTTGGTGTGTTTGAAGCGTCTCTTGTCCCCTGGGAACAGGCAGCGCAGCACACCTGTAGCTGGGATTGGATAAGCTTTAATGTAAGCCTGGGCTCAGCAGATCCTGCAGCCTGGGAGCTTACTGACACTGCTCAATGGAGGCTTTGAAGTGCTGATCATTTACAAAAAGGAGGGGTGGTAATGGACACACAAAATGTCTTAAGGGAAGAAACACAGAAGAGGACGAGAAACATGGAGACAAATAGTCAGAGCCATGTTTGACGTTTACCATGTTCCATTTTCTCTTTAATCTGTGCAATAAGTTTGGAAATGACATGTGACACCTGGGAGTCAGCGCAGAAAACACAAGGTTTTACTACGAGTAGTAAGCAGAAAAGCTGTCAGCCAGCATTTTTGAAAATTGGAAATTCTAGTGTGACATAATGACCCGAGGGTAAATGACAGGACTTCTGTCTACTAAGCAATCTTTTCATATATTTGGTGATGTAATAAACACACAGACTGCTGACCTTAGATTCTGCAGTGTGCAACCTAATTTATTTTGCAAAAGAAAAAAAAGAAAAAAAATCCTGCAGGACAAACAAGACATGATGAAAAATATCATTTCTTATTTAAATCAGCATTGTGAGTAATCAACTAGGGCTGTGCGATATGACCAAAATCTCATATCCCGATATAAGAATTGTATCGTCCCGATAATGATATAAATCACAAAAATGTAACATTTTCTGTAAATTCTGTGAATCTCGGGCAGCTAGTCTTGCGGGAAGTGTTTCCAGCTGCACGTCATGTAGCTGGAGTTGAGTGTTTTAACCGATGTATGAAACTATACATTTTTAGACACAAGTTGTAACGGCCGCCGTTTTCTTTGTGAGTATTTATTACACGGCGTGCTGCGGGGAAAAGCCTGTTCTAACGTTTGAGTCTAAGGTTTATTTTTTAGCACCTGACGGCTCTTTTTTGCTTCTCATCCGTAAATAATCTACTCTTTCACGTGATTCAGTTTATTTTGGAAAGTCTCAACAGGATCTTGAGCTTTATTGTGAAAGGTTTATGTGGAACATAAACAAGCAGACACGCGATGCTGTTACCGTCGTTGTTGCTAACCACAACGCATAAAAAACAGGCGCTTGTCCGTCCGTAGTGTGGTTATATTAAATATAAAAGAAAGAGAGAACTTTAAGAAATTAATATAGCCACTACAGTGACCATCAAAACGATGAAAAAAATATTGCCGTAAACAGTTTATTTTGCGACACCACGAAACAAACGATAGCGTAAAATGAAACGATAGATGTTTTTATATCGTCATCCGATATATATTGTTATATCGAACAGCCCTATAATCAACTGATCAGTCACATCATTCACAATAGTTTATTTGTAAGCTAAAGGTACCCTCAGTCGTTTCCGTTTATTTATTAGAGACAGAAAGAATGCGGTGGTTCATGCGTCATGAAGACACATTATCCATGTGTGCACCAAGATATGAAGGATGATAACTATGTTTTAAGGTGGACAAGGGCCAGAATTATGGCCCAAGCTCTCACTGTGGTTGTAGAGATCGAATGGCTCGTAGAATCAGGGTGGAACCAAATAACTGATTGTTGATTTTCACAGTCAAATGACTGATTTCAAATTATATAATTACATTTTGAGTATACATTAACAGCACTGACACTGTGTGCTTGAAGTGAAAAACAACTCTAGCATTCAGAGCGGACATTACAGTTAACTAAGTGTAAAACAAAAAACACCCAACTGTGAATTAACCTGCTCGAGTGGAAACATGTCTGTGGATATTCTTCAGCACGTCATACGTTATACTCATTAAACCAGGGGCATAATCTCTTATGAGATAGATGGCCTAACAAAGTTCTTGTTATTTTAGCCTACTAGACATGACTAATCAATCTTAAGTCTGCAGACTAATAAATCAGACAACAAGGACACAGATGAGAATTTTTTTTACTCTAAATATTTGCTTTGGTAAAGACACTAAAATTCTAGTATGCTACTGGTTGGCAACAAGTGGACAAGTAGTCCTTTTATGTCTCTGGCTGATTCCTGAAATTAATTCAGTTCAGTTTTATTTATACAGCACCAAATCACAACAATGGTTGCCTAAACGCATTATATTGTAAGGCAGACCCTACAAAAATATATAGAGAAAAACCCAACAATCATATGATTCCCCTATGAGCAAGCACTTTGGAGACAGTGGGAAGGAAAAACTCCCTTCTAACAGGAAGAAATCAATATTTTAAAGCCTTTATTTAGAAGCATTCTTCTAAATGCCCTAAACTTTGAGGGAAGTCTCCAGAAGAAGAAGAAGAAGAAGAAAAAAAAAAAGAAGAGGCTAGCTGAAGTAACAAAAATAAATAAATAAATAAAAACAGAATTTAACCATCTTAAATTCTTAAGATGGTTAAATAAAAGGCTCCAAGAACAACTGATTGATTTTAGAGGTCTGCCTCTGGTCAGTCTTATAGAAAAGTAAATAAAGCTTCAATATTTTACATTTTAGTTAGAAATGTATTCCATAGGCTCTATTTAAATAGGCCGACTAGAGCAATGGCAAGCAGAAAAAAAACAAAACAAAACAAAAAACTATACAGCTAGTACTAATAAAGAAAAAAAAAAAAGGCAGACAAAAAGGTAAACACGAGAACAAAAACAGTAGGAAAGACGAAGACAAATGAACACTGAGATAATCTCTGAAGTCTGTGGCTATGAGAAAAAGAAAGGGGATTTCCACAAAGAGGCCACGGTCCACTTAAAGAAACACAGACCCTCCCCTTTACTACTCAAAAAAGACCTTTCTGGACATACTCTTAAAAGCCACCACTATAAATCAGAAATTGTTCTTAATTATTAGCAATTTTAAATCTAGTTTAAATACAATACTGATTTTAAAAAGTTTACTTACATGACCGTTAAGGTCTTGAAAGTACTGAAATAACTGGCTGTTTCCTATGAACTGCTGTGCCATGTTACTCACTGGGTTTGTGTGTCTGCATGTATCTTAGGGTACAGTAGGAAAGAATTATCATTTGGCTACAGAAAGGCAAGAGGACGACAGAAGGAGGAAATTAGATAAAGGGGTTAAAAATAAACCCAGTATATTCAGGAAAATGCAACAAAACACACACTTCAACTTCACCCTTACGAACAGTTTGTGTAGAAACTAAAACATTTAGTTTCTAAACATTTAATTAATCATAATTTAACTCTGTTAAGATGAGACCTTTTGTTTCCTGCTGAAGACTTTCTGTGTTAAGATGTTAGATTTTGAAACAGATCAGTAAATTATTTTAGGCCTGTGATTGGCAGATTGGCTGTCTGCACCATTCCTTTCATCCAATGGCAGTCACCCTTTCAAACATGTTGTGATCTCAGAGTTTTGACCTTTTTTCTTAGTTGAGGACTTAGAACTAGAGATGGACCGATCCGATATTACGTATCGGTATCGGTCCGATACTGACCTAAATTACTGGATCGGATATCGGAGAAAAATAAAAAATGTAATCCATTAAATATCACGAAAGCACCTCACAAAACTTGCAACACGCCGTAACTCACCTCAGAACGTTAGCACGTCGGAGCAGTATGCATCACGTGATAGAGCGGCTGTGGCATGCGGGACCTGTCGGTGGTCTGGATAGCATGTGGAGCTTCGCTAGCAACCCGGCATTTCATCTCCGACAAAGTTATCCCCGAGAGAAGTAAAGCAAGTGTGTAAGTCCATCTCTGAATGTTTGTAAAGCATTCCTGCGTTAAGCTTAACTAGCGACTGCCTCTCGCTCTCCGGCTGCTACTTCAATCATGAAACTGCTTAACGATCAGCTGATCGGCTTTTCTGTCGCGAGTCCGTGTCTCTAGTTTGCTTTTGGCCCACTTTGCACCAGAAAGAGGAAACCAGCGGCTGAACAACAGCAGCACGTTTAAGCTTGATAAGCTGTTGTTAGAATTTATTTAATCTTACTTTCTACTCGAGGATCTTTTTCTACGTAGCTGACGGCTGGTAACTGTGCAGGGGCGGATCTAGCAAAGTTTAGCCAGGGGGGGCGATGGGGCATTAACAGGGAAAAGGGGGCACAAAGACATACTTTTCTTTCTTATTCTCATTTAAAATGTCTAGCTTTTAATAAATAATTATCTGACAGCCAAAGTTTTAATTTGATGTAAAATGAATAGAAGTCCATTACTGTATATAGTAACTATTAAGTCTAATATATATACCCTAGTAAGCTATAGTACTTTTTCCTTTGGGAAGGTACCATCTGTGCAGTCTGCAATTTTGTTGAAGAAAGATGTTGAATCTATTTAATATTTCTTGAAAAATAATTGATTTCTGTGCATTTTCTTTTTCACACTGCATCAAATTAAGGTTGATTACGTCGATTAAGCATCATGAGGTGGAGCGTGAGGGGTGGTTCCCTATTTTTTATTTATTTATTTTTGTTGTTGCTGGGAGTTGGAACCCTATTAGTTAGGTTGCTTAATATTTATGCTAAGTACTCTTTAAAATACCAGAATAGGGAGGATGGTGTAGGTTTAAGTTTACTAGATTGATCAGTATTGCTGAACTATGAAATATTTTTTTTGCATACAGGTATAACAGAATAGCTTTAGTGTAGTTGTTGTTTTAAACTTGAGAATGAACTTATACAAAATGCAGCAAGATATTTAAAAAACAGTTTTGTTGATTAAAAAACACTATATCGGATTCATATCGGTATCGGCAGATATCCAAATTTATGATATCGGTATCGGTATCGGACATAAAAAAGTGGTATCGTGCCATCTCTACTTAGAACCCCATTTCATTTTCATTATAGTAATTTAGAGAATTAGTTCTTATTTATTCTTATTCAATTTGAGCTACGCCCCTGTTTCTACAGAGTTTTGGGTTTAACTTCTAATTCTTAGGTTCTTATAAGCTTCAGTTCCTACATTTGAATTTATTTTTTGTGTTTTCTTCCCTTTGCTCTTGTACGTTCCTTTTAGCTGACAAATTGTTTTTGATAGTGCCAAGTGTTAGTCTTGGCATGATCAAATGATGTATAGTAAATAAACATCCAGCATCATAGGCACCTGATATCCTTCTGCAATTTACCTTAAACAGGGAAGTCATTAAGTCAAAACATGGTTCAACTTGTTTAACTCCCATTATGAGTTATGTCCTAAGTTATGTTTACAATATCTAATCTTAACCTCTTAACTATTACGCCTCAAAAGGACTCAATCATCAAGCATCAGGCTCCATGAGAGCAAACAAACACATACACCTACACTTCTATTTGTCACAACAGTCTGGGCTTACAAAAACACTTAAATAGCCGAGGAGATCATCTCCTCTCAGACAGTATGTTGTCATTTTTCAAAAAGGAGACAGCAACTAAATCATTCTTGTGGTTTGTTTTTGAATGTTTGTCGCTTTGCGTGCATGAAACCAACAGACTGGAGAAGCTCCATTATTATTGGCATTAATCGGTGGTTAGAACTGCAAACAGCAGTCAGTAACTGATGACAGGGGAGTTGGGTAAAAAACAAAAACAAAAAGGTCTTCGCATGCGCTGATTCAGTCACTAATGTGGACAAAGAAATGAAAAGTCCCTTTAGTGTATTGGTATATCAATGGCTTAAGAGTATAGAGGCCATGACAGGGCAGGAGTAAGAGAATAGATGTTGCAGGGTAGGAAGAAGGGAGGAGGGAAAATAACAGCAAAGAAAAGGCTAAGGCTGAGGAGGATGGAGGCAAAATGAGAAAGAGAGAGGACAAGCTGAATAGAGTAGGAAAGAGTTTCACAGGAGAGGATAAGTTAGAAATAAAGTTAGAAATAAAATTGTAACTGTTCTGTTTAACCATGAACTAAGTTTGAGCTAATCATAAACTACATTTAAGGTAAAGCCAGAATACTGGAGGAAAAAACAAAATAGGACAAGAGACAGTGGACCCCACAAGTCTGGGGATGACAACTTGTAGGAAGAAGTTATTAACTCGTGATAATAACTTCAGGGAATAAGTTAATTATCTTGTGCAAACAAGAAACTAACTTTTATAAAAACTTAATCTGATGAAACTTGGACAAAGAGGATTGGGAGAGAAAACAGGACATAATGGATGGGAGTGGGCCTGTTTGGCCCTGATCCCCTTTGACCCATGGGTATTGACCTCTACCACACCCTGTCATTCAAAGTGTGCCTCTTAATATGGCTTAAGCCTTACTGCAAGGTCAAAGTTCATCCCCAAAGGGCTAAAGTTCTAACAAGAACTCCAGAGGCTGAGATGCATGAGTAATAAGTAACAAGTAAAAGGCAGGATATGATAAATGTTAGCTTTGACACTGTTAATGTTCTTAGTACAGTGACTGAGAGAAAAAGGGGAGGATGTGCTCATTCAAAAAAATAAACAAGAGGAAGTGCATGAAAAGAATCAAAGCAGTCATTTATCTATTTTCTAACATGTAATTACAGCTGTCAAACTACACAGATGAAAGAATCTAAACAGAATGTGATGCTGCTCATTTAAACCCACAACATTAATGCCATGCCATTGTGACATGATAATAGCTTGGTCTAACACAACACCTTTATCCAACACAGTTAGATAAAGGTAAGTTTGATTGGTGATAATGGAGGCAACAGTCAGGTCTACCCTGCAATTTCTCTGTGGGTCAGTATGAATGCCGATTTTACATCCTGTTTGTTTTACCGTTTTTTTGTTGTTGTTGTTTTTTTGTTTTTTTTTTAAGCATTTTCTATTTTTAAAATAGTGCAGCAGAGAAAACTATTTTACACTGTTTGGCAAGAAAAGAGATGACCCAAATGTATGTGTATGCAAAACATGAATAACCCCTTTAACAAATTATGCCCTAGATTTTAACGGAAGTAAACATAATTAAGACAATCCATTAATTATTAAGATGGCACATTCTCTGCTCGAGCCTGAAAGCCAAGTTCCAGCACAATGTAAACAAAGGTGCTTTATTCACATGCATGAGCACAAAACAGTGCTTCTTTCCTGCTCTTATTTGATCCCACACAAGCACGTTTCTCCTTTTACCTCAATTATATAGCAATACACACATACGCCAGGATAGCCAGAGGGACTCCACAGGGTGTAACAGCAGAATAGGTCAATGTTGTGTTGGAGTATGTGAACACACACACATACTTCGAGAAAAGGAAAGCAACCAGGCAGGAAAACCTTCAGGGTCTAACCCTGGAGGAAAGTATCCGGGGCTCAGTATGATCTGAGCCAGCAGTGCTTTCCTTTCTTTCCTATAAAAAGATAAGCTTTTGTCTTCGCACAGTCTTATCTCCTCTCCCACCTGCAGCCTCTAATCCCATTATCCAACACATTTATACACAAATCACAAATAATTAATAAGGCTCATAATTTCATCTAATTAAGGACCGTGTGCAAACAAGCGCAGAATTTCAAACCAGCTGCCTGCGTCTCATTTAATGAGGAGACATGAGGACACGGAAGCTGTGTTAAAGTCTCTTGCTTTGTGTTTTTTCTGTGACAACTCCTAACTTATGAAAACATATTTAGATGCAATATCAATATAGCTATTCTTTAACTTAAAACAAACTATGCACATGACAAAACAGATTAGTTGGATAGCCTATAAACTGATTAACAGAACAGATCAGTAATCCAACAACTATGTCAGTGATATTTTGAACAGAAATGACATTTTCCATTTCTTTAATTCTGTCATATGTTGATTTGCTGTGCTTTTAATTTCAGTCTCATGTCATATACCATTGGTAGAATTAAATGATTCTTCAAGGGTTTTTTTTGGGACAGAGCACATTGAAATAACAGTACATAGATTTAGCCCCCACTATAAAAGAGGTCATATGTAATAGTAAAGATGTTGTAGTGCAAGACATCAGAGAGGCCAAGGAACTGTAGACCACTCCAGTGACATAAACCATTTTGTACCTTAGAAAATATGGAAGCTACTACTTCCTTGA